CCGCGCGTGCTGAAGGCGCGAGGGCACATCGTCTTTTTACTCTTTGAACCACCTATGAGAGTTTCATCCTCACGAGGCTGATTCCACGGCGTTATCCTCCATTTCCTCAAACATCGCAGCCAACCTTCTGATGGGAGTATCTGGAAAGAGAATATTATTCCAATTAAAGAGGGTGTACCTTGCCACGTGTGTCATAGCCCGTCCAAAATCAGGACACTGAATGTGTGCCAGAGCTTCCTCCTGGCAGAGTTCCATGCTCATCTGAGAAAAAGAACAAAAGACTCATTAACTATAGTGCCTGGTGGAAGGAAGCCTGTAAGAGGATGACTGCAGACACTTTTGCTATAAGCATAGTTTACCAGCCAACCGAAAACACAACACGCGTCTCCGCGACCTAGATAGGCCATTCCACACTGACTCAGTAAACATCTACCCTATTCAGTCCTGTCTAGTCTACGCCAGTCCGAACGGAAAAGGGCAAAGGTATTAAAAACTTATTACTTGCAGGTTACATGTCTAATGTATTTGGTATATCTTTAACTTAGTATCTAACTCAGTAATTGATGCAACACGGAAGTGTAGATTTGTTCCAGTGAGATTTCATCAAATTACCCTTTGGAAAGTATGCAAATATTATTTAGATTATAGTATAAGTTTTCACATCAGCAAAAAAATAATATAATAGGAGAATAGTTATCGGAATATTATGTAGATAGACTATTGAGTCATCTTCCTTCTCAATCTTCACCAATAGAAGCTGCTGAAACAAACCAAGACGGTCTCTGTACTCAAAGCCAAAACACATGCGCTATCTATTTTAATCAATACTGAAGTGACCCCCTTTGATTAGAATCCATTGCAAGAACAATATAATTTGGGTAATGCAGCTATTACCTGTATTGCCATTGTTAAAGTATGTGCGAGTAGAGATGCAGCCCAGAACAAATGTTCCGGCGTGGAATACAGGCATCGAGGGACACACCGCACCACTGGCATACTTAACCAGTGTGGGCCCTGGACCGAGCTACATTTACACTTGGGTGATCACTGTGTTTCACGCCGTGGTTTGTTTGGGACGGGAACAGGGGGTCATGTGCGAAATGAAATTAGGAATATTCCTTTCATTTTGCAGTGAGTGGCAGTATTATATTGGATCCTCTCGATCCACGAGGATTACAGTTCAACTTTCAATCTAGTATGCGCGTTGTTGTATCTCACATTCCTGTCTTGGTTTGGTATGTCGTGGTGTGCTTGTACTACAATCTTTATTATTCATCTGGAGATTAGATATGATATATGTGTAGTGATGAATATTATATTAACGACGTTACTGAGGTGAACAGTACGTAGGTTGTTTATTGACCTGTTTGATCAATTCGGTTTGTTTGTGTGTTGTTTTTGTATGTTGTTTGTATGTTGTTTGTGTGTTGTTTGCACTCAGCTATTCTCCAGCTATAAGACGGCGGTATGTAACTTAACCTAGAACGGAGTGTGAATGATATTGTGGACTCCTATCCACGTCTCTTACTCATATTATAAGATGCTAAGGACCTATTCTGAGGACCAATCTTTACGGTTTTACCACGGGTATGGTACTAAGATGCAAAACATATTCAGGTCAAATCTGGGAATCGAACTTCGAATAGTGCACCCAGACACGCCAAACTCTTCATGGACATATTGCATTGTCATATCTGTACATCATGATGTAGACGTTGATGTAGATGGTGATAGAGGTATATGGTGACCTTATATATGGAGTTATTTAAGAACTAATAACCAAACCTCTCTGTTGCTACGTACTGTTAAACCAAACGACCAACATGATGTAAACAAATGATACGAATTCGCAGATGGGCTCATGATTTAAACGTTGTTTTAACGACACCTGCATGTTTGGTAGACAATCGCTTTCTCTTTGTGAGGATTTTGTTTTGTGATTGCCACTCCTTCAGGCCCTGCCGCTGTAGGTTATAAGTTCAAAAGACTGAAACCTTGATTACAAGTCATAACAAAAGACGATACGTATCTGACAGTCATATGGACATCCCTTACAAAATTGACTAAAAGTATGATAGTGTTTCCTCCAGACAACAAAAAGGGCAGGGTGAAGGTTCTACAGAAAAGGGAATCCTGGTTTGAAAAGGGCACAAACCACAATCAAAACCAAAATAAAATGATAATGATGTAGGACTATATAATGTCAGTGTATGAAATAAGTCAACAAACCAGCGAGACATCAGGGCTGGTAACTTCAAATGTTACCAGCCCAAAATGGATTTAACCAAACGGGACAATCCAAAGAAAATTACTCCGATGTATGGAACATGTTATTTGTAATTTTTATCAGACCATCGGGCTGGCTAGCTGTAAATTTTGACTGTCCGTCAGAAATCTAGCCCGTCTCGGGCGGTCGGACGGGCCTTTTTCATACACTGATAATGTTATCTTTTGGGGTTTTTCTGGAAAACAAGATCCTCATGATATACTTTTAACAGTTTCTCAATACAAATGTGTTATGCCATCGACGACAAGTGTTCATTCATTCATCCACTCACTCATTCATTCATTTATTTACTCATTTCACAGCACATACATCTCCCGTTTTTCAACATATTTATACCATGCATTATGCGTTGCAAAATATATAAAACCTTCCTGTATGTATTCTTAATCACAGCATGTTTTTGATTGTTTAGAGTGAAAATGTTATAAATATCAGACATAAAAAATAACATCCAGAACGTTATACATTGCATCTGACGGAAATATGAACATAACGTGATACCTTCAGAACACGTGAACCCAGAGCTGACATTTGTAAGCGGTTGTAAAGTAGAAGCTCTAAAATTGTTTGAAGTTTTCAGACTCGGAAGCATTTGGGGAAAACATAATTCATAATATTATGATTCCTTTAAAATGGATTTTGTATCATAGAAGCAAACAAACCCACCCTTTCCACATCCATCAAAACTGTGCCAAGATAAAATTCCATTGTGTGATTTCGACTATATCATATTATATTAAGTATGTGTTTATGAATCAATGTCATGCAGAGATTATAGGAGGCGTTCGCGAAACGTTGAGCGTATCCTGCCGACGGTACGGCCATAAAGACTAGTCAGTTGGTCTCCTGAAAACAACCGAGAACGTATATACAAGTCAAAATAGGGAATTGCATCGGGCATCATTTCTATCCTCCGCTTGGTTACAAAAGAACGTTTTGAAAGCTTCAATGAGAAACCTTGATTAAAACAACTCCGAGTAAGAGTCATATATGTCGCGCTTTAGTAAATGGCGGGTGCTTCCAGTAAGGCAAGACATGCTTATCCTTTTTGCGAACACCTGGTATCATCACTGATTATCAGTAATCCTATCATATGACTTTCACAGATATTTTCCTCTTTACACAAACGGAATTTGTTTCTGATGATAGTTAAGCCTGGTTATTCTTTTGCACTGGCGGTTTTTACCGAAAATGAAATCTTGGCAAAGAGGGCATGGTTGATTGTACCCTAAAAGTTCGTAAATGTTAACCCCAAAGGCTGGATCTGTTGGGATATTACTGGACGTGAAGGGACTGTTGACTATAGTCATTCGACCTTGTAGAGGTTTTTGCCACTCTAAATGTTTATGCATAGATCTGAATGTGGTACACATGAGGCGATCTCTCCTTTATTTCTAGTTCAGTTGGGTAAATCAGTATAAGGGAATTAACTGTTTGGTGGTTTGATCATCGATCTACCTTAAGCTTATAAGGTACATATCTTGGCCAAATTACTCTTTTAGGAAGAAACAGATCAGGTAGAAGGGGAGCACAACTGCTCTTGGTAATACCCATTTGTCTAAACGTTTTACCTCACATTTTGTATGTATATTATAATGAAGAAATCTTAGCATTTCATATATTGTTTTCTCAGTAACCTTTAGATGACATTTACTCTAGAAACATACCCCAGTATATCTGTTCTCTCAACGAATACCTCGTGGATCACACAACGAAGTTCTGTCTTAGGTTTTTCATGTTGGATATTGGTGTACAAAGTTAAAAGATCAAACGTTTTGGACAGAACTCAGCCCGTGTGTGAGAGTGTCCAAATTCAAGCCTATCCTTTGTATGTCTGAAAATCCACATGGTGTTAATTCCGATAGTCTCACATACGTTCTGTGAATGTACGTGCTTTCTTAATATACTCATGCCAATAATGGTTGTCAACCCCCTTCCCACCCCAACCCCACACACACCTAACACCCCCACCCCACACCTCCTCTCCAATTAAACAAATTGAAGGGGGTGACAAACCATTATTGGCATGAGTATAGTTTGAAAGATGATGGTTAATCTGGATTTGATGGTACATTCGCCGGGCCCAGCATTATATCTCTCTTTGTACGAGTTTTATGGAGCTTTCGGAATTCAGTGTAATAAAGAATGAGACATGTCTTCTGGTTTTAAGTCAAGCCAAAAAGTAGTACTAACACAAGATTTTTGTCGATTTCATCCCGAGGTATCAGGTCTAACATGTGGTGTTTTTCGATATGTCACTTTTGCCTTGTTCTTTGATCAAACGATTTATGTAGCGATGTTTACATTATGAAGGTAATGCAAATGAAGGCTGTTGGAACAACTACAAACATTTCGAGTAGAGAAGCCAAATTTTGGATAACAGCTGGCTGAGCCAGAAGGTTTTTCCCAGTCCTGATTCCGCTGTACAGTTTGTGCATTCTGCCAGTGACATGTCGCACTGACTGAACCTACTCTGACAGACATTCAACAGATTCCTCTTCTGTTTTGGCCCATTTCAAATGAATGGCTGGTAATAAAAATAGCAGTACATATAAACCTAAGAACACAGAGAACGTCAATATGTTATTATTATGTTGGTTTTGTTCTGAAGTGATGATGATGATGATGATGATGATTGTAATTTACTTTTGACTTGGGTCTTTTACATGCATCTTTTCTTTTTTAATAATTCTTTCCCAATTGATCGTTTCAGCGGCGGACCAAGACCGCTTGGTGTACGACCTTTTCTCGAAGAACGGGTACAATCCTCTCATCAGACCAGTAAATGAAGTTAACGATTCCCTCCATATAGACTTCAGTTTACAGCTAAGCCAGATTATAAGCCTGGTAAGTATAGCATACACTTTCTATATTCATTCCATATATTGTGTTTGATATCACCCGTGATCGGTGTTAGCTATGGAAGTTATTCACAGCCTTCCTGAAGTGAAGTCACGTTAGCTGATTAATGTTGATCAAACTGACGCAAATATTTGATGGCATTAAAAAGGTTGTACTTTCTCGCCTCGTCCCTTTAAAAACCTTTAAAAGCATCTTGTAAAGATTACATGTGATACGAAAAGCAAATTGTGACCTCTCTGAGGGCTACCGTAATACGTTCTGCATCTCGAGCCTAATAATCTGACGCTGAATCTAATTGATGGTTCAAATGTGGATGAAGACCAGCTTTATATTTTCATAGATGTCTAATTGACTCTGTGTTGACGTCACATGGCTTCCTCCCCATCGCAGATCCTATTGAATTGACTCCGAGCCATCAACTGACAATGTCCACTATAGGAACGCCTGTCATTTGCTCGGAATAACATCCAAGTCTATATCTCTTTCTAGTTTACTTAAGTGGAAAGCCTGTATGTCATCTACTGTTCCACATACTTACTGGATCGTCTTAGTCAATAAATCTGTCAAGTCAGCCATTACGGGTATTTTATTGACATCGATTGTTGATCACTACTTAAGCCTTCAACCACTATTAATGATTGTCGTAATGCATCCGTTTGACACTCAAAGTATTATAATGACGTCACGCCATTGTTGCTAAAGTTTGTTTCTGAATCAGGAATTCTCTGGTCATTCTAAACCAACCTGAAGCAAGTAAAAAACGAAGCAAATGTAGATCGAATTTAATGAAAAACGGATTATCAGTTGGAGACATCACGCGAACATTTTCAGAATTAGGTGATCATCATGATTTTCGTTACCTTGTATGACACATAATTGTAATTATTTTTACAGACTATAGCTTTGGTTAATATTTTGTTTGTGAACACGACTTCCCCCAGCTGTAGCCTTTTATTTCGGCCGCAATATTCTGTTGACATTCCAATACTTGTGTTTGAAAATGTTATTTCTTTTCATTTTCGATTCTCTTTCAATGTATTACTTGAGAGTAAATGTCAACATTTCAGCCCAGGTTTTCATGGCAATTATTAAGATATCATGCCGTTAGTGAAAACACGGTAAAGAAATTATGACATAACACAGGGTTTTTTTGGCCATCATCTCTGGAAGATGTGTCCCAAACTAAGGCCTTTATTCACTGGAGCAAATAGAAAATCCTTTATATGGCTTTGACGATGAAGACTGAACATTTACATTATGTTTGCCCCAGGGACTCTTACCCGTTGATCTTTGAGAGGCCCCAGCATAGTCTTTTCAAATATAAGAGACATCTTTTTTGTACAAGAAAAATTGTAATACCAGAGTCGTCACATTGCCCCCGGTAATTATGACGTCAATTTAGTGGTTGTAACATGTGATTGCGTAGTGCAAATAAAATGAAGTGTTAGCCATTGCTGTCTAAATATTTGACAGCAAACAACAAAACATGATTATGACATTTTATTGGCTTTTTCTTGTTTACAGTGGAGAGAAAAAAATGTTCAACTTGTAGCTTTGTAAATATTTGCTTGTCAACAAAATCTATTCAAATTATCAGGAGGCTGTCTAGAAAAAGCAGAAGGAAAAATGCGGAGAAGTCACTAGGATCTCTTCTGGGATTGAACGTGTCATACATTTAAGTCTTCTAATGTGCTTCAGGCTTTTAGGCATGTCAATTTTAGAGGGTAACAAGAAGAAAAATTCCAAATGAAAGTGTTGCTTCCAGTGGTTGCGGAAGGATAGGGTTTAACTTGGTTATTGTTGGGCGTACTGCCACCACCGTTACTTGTCTATATTCACAGACAAGGCTACACTGAAAGAACTCGATTTAAGTGCATCTCGATAAAGAAACCACAGATTTAAGGGTTTAACCGCAGGGTCACAGTGTCTCCCGGTATGCTGATTGAACCTTACGAGGTATCTTCCAAATATATATTGTTTTACGCCGCACCGCAATTGTCCAGGTACATGATGGCTGTCTGTCAGTGTTACTTTTCCTGATGGTATTTGATGGAAGGGCGTTTGCCTCTTTGAGTCCATTAAACGTCCATGAAAGTCCTGCTGAAGATCAAACCATATCCTAGGAAGAATCTGGTTCGTCAAGCGTTGTTAGAGGATTCGAATTACATCGTAAACTTCGCTCCAGACGTGTTCAGTGGTCCACAAACCAGGGGGGTCTTGCTGGCCAGGGTAACACATTAGTTTTGTTCTGATTAAGATACTGCTATACAACTCGAGCAACGTGTGGTCTGGCGTTATCGTGTTGAAACGTCATTCCAGGGCCGTTCTGTTCAAGTTCCACTCAATCACCATCAGCTGTTACCCCAACACAGATCATAACGCTCCCACCGCCAAAACGATCCCCTCCCAGAACACATGGCTTCATGTAACGTTCACCTGCGCACCTGTAGACGCGTGTCCTGCTTTTAGCTCGTGACGAAGGAAACGTGACTCATCGGTGACGAGAACTCTTCTCCACTCACGTGATACCCATGGCCAGTGCTGTCTGCTCCACTGGAGACGTCAACGCCGATGCTCTGGCGTCCGGACCGCCTCCGTGGTGTAGTGGTTAGAGCGTCCGCCCGGACAGCGGAAGGTCGCGTGTTCGATCCCCGACCGCGTCATACCAAAAGACGTTAAAATATGGTACTTGTTGGTCCCTGCCTGGCGCTCGGTATTAATGGGTACAACAAGGACTGGTCGGCTCGGAGTCAGTATAATGTGTCTGAGTGGGGTATTCATGCTTAACTGCGACATGGTATCTCAGTGGGCTAGCTCTATAAAACCAGCTTCAGTCTGGGCTAGTACAAGCAGCCGCACATACACATACATGCACGTCGTCATATGAGCGAAATATTCTCAAGCACGACGTTAAACCCAATTTCACCTCACCTCACCCCACTTCACCTCTGTCGTCCGAATTCTGGCCTTTTAGAGTGAACTTAGTTGACCATTTTTCCTGTAAATGTCACGCTTTTTGCAAATTTCGTGCAATTCGAACAACTGCTTTTTTGCGTTTATTGGACCATTAAACACACTTTTTCTCTGGTTCAAATAATAAACTTCATGCACAAAATTGCCTCTCAGTATATATTGTCACAACAGGGCAATAGGAATGGGTAACATATTGTCTGTAGTCGTGTGCTTGTCTCAGTATTTTATGAACATAAGACCACGAATCATTTGAGACACTGTTGAGTTCGATTTTAGTGGAGATACTGTTAGTTCTTTTCCTGATATGATATCACAATGCCGGTTGTCTTAAACTTTCAATTTCACAGAATATTCTGAAGAAGATTCTTGAGAAAACATGCTCAGGACACACTAGCACTGTTACAGTTTAATTAATCCAGATTATACAAATAATATATGTGGGTTTCTTCATCTTTTCTTTCAGGATGAAAAGAACCAGGTGATGAAGACGAATGTGTGGCTGCAAATGGTAGGATTTTTAAAATGTGATATACCACTACTGTCAAAAATACACGATTCTGATTGGTCAGTGGGTTTCAAACCACAACAAGATATATCCGATTCGAAAGAACAATGATAACGACCATCTTGGTTATTAATAACCAATAAATAAAAGTTCCAGAATGCATAGTTACAGATATGAAACATTATAATAATATATTTATTTCGATAAAATCCGCAGTCTTAGTATAATGATCTGCTCTCCTTCATTTTTTACAGTGTGTTAACTTTAATGTTCGGATGTCCAGATTGCAAAATATATTATTAAAACGATAAATATTAAATGCTTGGTGGCGTTTCATCTAGTTTGAAGAACTTATGTTTGTGATTATTATGTACGTCCCTCGTTTCAGAAATGTCTCACTGAAAAACAACATAACTCATCACGTTAAACAGATATCTTGTTCAAACATTGTCCGTTAGTACATGGCCGCCGATGGGCAAGTAGATAACACCTGGTTACACTGCCCGTCACTCGGTATTGAGGGATACAACAAACGTTGGTCAGCTCGGAGTGGGCATACATAATACGTACACCTACTTCCGTCGTGCACGCACTCTCAGTCTCTCTCTCTCTCTCTCTCTCTCTCTCTCTCTCTCTCTCTCTCTCTCTCTCTCTCTCTCTCTCTCTCTCCTCTCTTCTCTCTCTCTCTCTCTCTCTCTCTCTCTCTCTCTCTCTCTCTCTCTCTCTCTCTCTCTCTCTCTCTCTCTCTCTCTCTCTCTCTCTCTCTCTCTCTCTCTCTCTCTCTCTCTCTCTCTCTCTCTCTCTCTCTCTCTCGCTGCATGTCCATAAACAGAATTCCTTATTCATACACACAGCATGCCTCCATGCGTTCACAAGCAAACCAAACTGCGAGAACTTGTGAGATAGATGAGATGCCAGAACCATATCTCTTATAACTTTTATGTAATGTCACAAAATAGTTAGTCGGTGTACTATTATATTAACCATCACGAGTTATATTACTACTTATCTGTTTAGTACTGGAACGACACGCAGCTGTTCTGGAACACCGCCGAGTACGGGAACATCGACTCCATTAGGATCCGACCAGAGTCGGTATGGACACCAGATATCGTTCTGTTTAATAAGTGAGTATCACACGAGTCAACGCCCTCTTGACAACCCGGGATGAATGTATTCCATCCAACAGTGCTATTCATACAAAGCTATTAACTAACAAAAGATATCATCGGCCTTTTAGAAACACTTCACCGCCAATTTGGAATTACTTCCGTTATACAAACCTTATGAAAATATTAACTTCCTTGTCACAGACACTGTAAATTAACCCTTTATTCTCATGACATTGGCTTCATTTACATATGGACAGCAGTGTGTTTCAGATATGATAATTAGTATTCGTGTATCAAAACGAATCACCAGTGAACATCCTCGCTTCTTTGTCGTTTTTAAGTACTTAAATGCTGTGACCAGACCATTTGTTTAGCTATGGTTGCGATTGTTCTGCATTAGAATGAAGGTTTCCGGGCCTTCTATGGTACTCATTGTGCAGATACTTCACATTTTACCCATACGAACAGTGTTTTTAGCGAAATAAGTCAATTTTCGTATCCACCCGGGCTGTTGTCCACCCGGTAAGTATTATTTCAGAAACGACAGAAACGGGTCACGTAGAGTTCAGTCGAATACATGTGTATTTACCTTGGGTAAGCTTTACCTTACCTTAAATATTTTGTCCCTCGAGTGTGGTAAATTTGTTCTCATTATGTACTAAACATCTGGAGATATGCGCTAGTTGATACGGTGGGTTTTTTTCTTTCGATTAAACATAACCTTTCCCAAAAAGACTTTCATTTTTGCCTCAAAGACTGAAAATAGGTAAACAATACGTGCAAAACAGATCAATTGTCTTGTCTTATCAAATAACGTACTTATGCAATTTTCTTGCCTGAAAAACAACGAACTGGACTAAGTTGATTTGAAAAGTCTTAAGACTATTCTACAGTATTGATGAGTATAACGTTCCATAGAGTTCAAAGTCAAAGATTACCTTACATATATGATTGTTTCATCCATACAGCGCCGACGGTAACTATGAAGTAACCTACAAGTCCAACTGCGTCATCTACTCCACTGGAGAAGTCAACTGGATCCCTCCAGCTATTTACCAGAGTTCTTGCACAATCGACGTCGCCTATTTTCCCTTCGATCAGCAAGAATGTGAGATGAAATTCGGTTCCTGGACATTCCAGGGAAACCAGCTGTCTTTTGGGTTCAAGGGAGGACGAACAAAGCTGGATCTGACAGATTATCTGAAGAGCGGTACCTGGGATTTGATTGATTGTCCGGGAACCATTGTGAATGAAACAAATGGACGTGAAATACGCAAATTGATTATTTTCAAATTCATTCTAAGGAGGAAGACCTTGTTCTACACAGTGAACCTTATCATCCCGTGTGTTCTCATCAGCTTTGTCAGCGTCTGTGTGTTCGCATTGCCCGCAGATGCCGGAGAAAAAATCACTCTGTGTATATCCATCTTGCTGGCTTTGGTCGTGTTTTTGTTGCTAGTCTCAAAGATCCTTCCTCCTTCCTTGAGGATACCTTTGATAGCCAAATATTTACTATTTACGTTTATCATGAATATTATAGCCATCTTGTCGACTGTTGTTATAATTAATAGAAATTACAGGACCCCTCGTACTCATCAGATGCCAGATTGGGTGCGAAAGATATTTCTTTACTATATTCCAAAGATTTTACTCATGGAAAGACCGGATCATGATGAACGGTGGAAGAAGAAAGAGATTACTCCGCCACCGTCGTATCAGAATACACCAGAAACAAGGCGGGTACCTCTGAATATGACCTCAGACCTCCTAGAACTAACGGAGATCCACCACCCTCACTGCAAATTGAATCCTCCGCTAGACCGCGGGAATGGCATTGATGACGGGGAAGAAGCGTTCAGGATGACGCCTGACCTCTACAAGGCAACAGAAGCAGTGAGATTCATCTACAAGCACTTGAAAACAGAGGAAGACTATGAAACAGTAAGGATGGATTATATGTTAACGACCCCTGAAGATCCGGGTTAGAATTGGTCTTCGGCCACCGATGCTTGTTGTAAGAGGCGACTAATGGGAGGGGCGGTGGGGTAGCCTAGTAGTTAAAGCGTTGGCTCGTCACGCCGAAGACCCGGGTTCGAATCCCCACATGGGTACAATGTGTGAAGCCCATTTCTGGTGTTCCCCCGCCGTGATGTTGCTGGAATATTGCTAAAAGCGGCGTAAAACCAAACTCAGTCAGTCAGTCAGTCAGTCAGCGACTAATGGGATCGGGTGGTCAGGCTCGCTGACTTGGTTGACACATGTCATCCCAATTGATGCACCTGCTGTTGATTGATACCTGGATTGTCTGGTCCAGACTCAATTATTTACAGACTGCCGCCATAATGCTGGAATATTGCTGATTGCGGCGTTAAACACCAAACAAGCAACATTTTATGCTAACACATTTATTTCGTAACTTTCATTGTTGATAGTAGATACAGTTTCTGTCATATTTCCATTTATTACTACTGATACTCAGTCTCAAATCTACCGAAGTTTGTTGATCTCACCACAGGCATGTTTGTCGTCAACAGGTGCTCGGTGACTGGAAGTACGTGGCACGGGTTCTGGATCGGATGATGCTGCTCATTTTTCTCTTCGTCACGTTCGGTGGAACAGTTGGGATCCTTGTCAACGCGCCACATATTCTCGAATATGTAGACCAAGATAAAATTTTGGAGGGCTTGAGAGGATAAAGACGTCATTTTACGTGAACGCTGGCACCACCCTTAGGTTGCTAAGAGACCGACAACAGGGTGTTTTCACGTGAAAATTGTCTGGTCACGTGACACAGAGTCACAGCCCCTCTTGATCACGTTGGAAACCTTTGCAAGGACGTGCAAGTCTGTGACAGGTATGACGTCACGATGACGTCATAAATGAAAGCTGGACGATCGTGCATTAATGCAAATGGTGTTTGAGGCCTAACACCAAGGGTCTCCAAGGGTCTCCAAGGGTGAAGTGTGTATGTTGTCTTATGCAACGGATGTCGACTTGTTCTTCATCCAACCCTTGACCTTTCCATGTTTTCATAAACATGAATGGCGGGTCACTGTTTGAAGCGAAATGGGTATTATATAATCCCGTCTCCTAGTTTTCCCCGTCGTAATTCTGTGTACACACAATGGGGTTCGAGGAATAATCATCATGAATGCAAATGGTCTTAATTCTCAAAATGGATTCTCACGAGTGTTTTTGTTTTCAATACGTTGTTTACTTTGTAGAGGATATTTATTTCATGTGATAGATGGTACAATTCTCTGACAATGTCAGCAGGTTTGACATTGTGATTGGGCTAGCGTAGATTTACCAGTGAAGATGTTTTGATACATAATTATTGTTATGCTATTCACAATAGTCTACGCCAGTAAACGGTGGGTAAATATCATCGGGTTATTGTTGACCAACACATGAAAGCATGTTTAAGATGGTTTTACATGTGAATTATACGTTTGGTCATTTTATTGGAGTTGAGTACTTGACAAGTAATACATACACATTAACGCTTGTTAAATTAAGATCTGTTAGACATACATTTTATTCAGGCGTGTTTTGGTGAAGTGTTGTGGACTGATATGTCATATATCCATATTCCAATGTTAATGTCTGGGTTTAATAGAATATTATACAACCGATCTGCACTATTTATGGAGTCAACAAAAATACAAGTTACAGGATTTGGAAACGGTCAACCGATGTGCAGCTAGGCAGAATTTAGATCGGGTTCGAATTTTATAGCAAATGTATAACGAGGGACGCATCTATTTTACCCGTGCACTGTTACTACATACTACGATTGTTATAAGCGAAAACATGATACCTTTATTTCTAAAACACTCAGACAAGTAATTCAGGGTTGACTGTAAAATGTGGAATGAATGTAGGCAAAAGGCACTAAAAATGGTTGTAAATTACTCTGAAGCAATAATTTATTTGCACGCGAGTTCTTATTTTGTTGGTGCAAATATTGCCATTTGCGCGGGTATCTGTTCACACTATTGCCCTATGTTACTTATATCCTATTGTGTTTCTCTGTAGACATCCCTTTCGTTAGCTCACTTGGTCAGCAGGTGGGAGTCTGTCTTTGGTGGCGGTCTCAGACATTTTATCTCATAATCTCTAGTTGACGTCCCGAATGTTGTGTGTCCAAACCTGGGTTGGCTTTATATTAAAACCATTTTTAGAAGCTGAATGTGTCTACTTTTCACTGACGATGGACAGAGTTAATTTACTCGTCTTTCAGGACAAGAACACTGAGATGTGTTACATTCTTTGGGATGTGACTCTCGCGGAACAGTCAGTAAAACACAGCTTATTACTCCTAGTAGAGACCTGTGAAGATCCTGGTTAGAATTGGTCATCAGCATCCCATGTTTGTTTTCACCGTAAAGATCCAGATTAGAATTGGTCTTCAGCAACCCATACTTGTCGTAAGAGGCGACTAACGGGTGGTCAGGCTCACTGACTTGGTTGACACACGACATCGTAGCCCAATTGCATAGATCGATGCTTATACCGTTGATCATTGGATTGTCTAGTCCAAACTTTTTACATAATTACATATTTATAGCTGGAATATTGCAGAGTGCGGCGTTAACCAACACTCAAACTCCTACTAGTTATGTCGTATTACGTTATTACACAACGTTACATTGCTTCGGTTGCAAAAAAAAAGAAACGCAAAATAGTTTTCAGATGTATGCTTTTTAAATTATATAAATTATCCACAGATGATAACACATTTGGCACAAGTCATTGTCACAGACCGAGGTTCATCACGGCACACGTGAAACAATCGAATGTCAAGGTGAAGGTCATCTGTTCTCAACATCGTATCTATTACATTCACAATGACGCCTCGAACTGGTCATTTTTCTAATCGGGCGAATACCTGGGGCACTGTCTGGGCTGAAACCCTAGTCAATATTGGTATTGCTGTAGCCGTAGTTTATCTAGTTTTAGTCACGTTATGGCTGAAATATTGCCGATATGACTATAATTTTTAACTCACTCACTCGCGCTGTAGTCGTAGACGTAGTCGTGGTGAGTCTGTTACGTATGTGACGAACCGGTATGAATAGAAACCTGTTCTGCTGTGACCCGTGGACGACCGGATCCAGGTAGGTCACGTGTTGGACTCTGCGTCCGGTAACGGTTCCATTGTTTTGTAATGGTGCTTGGCGATACGTGGAAAACCCTTGTTATGGCCGAGGACGAGTCGCCTGTCTGCAGTCAGCCGTTGACGTTATTGGTTGAGCTTCTATGAATCGTGACATGTTTTCACGTAAGGTTTTCACTTGCTGAACAAATGACAGACATAAGCCCAGCAAGTCAGGTTGCACGTTCATTTGTTTTTGTTGCACATACGTAGATGCTGTTGATCACTAGATTGCCTGGTCCAGACTCGATTATTTACAGACCGCCGCCAGATAGCTGGAATATTGCTGAGTGCAGCGTTAAACAACAAACCAAACAACCAAAATCGTTTTGTGTGTGTGTTAAGCCGCCATGTGGCTGTGTTTTTGCGTTCCCCCCACATTTTCGGGGTAAAACCGTACTTGATTCTACCCGCACAAATCACTACCGATGCATGCACACATGAGAAATTCATATTTGATATTCATATTGTATGAATATCAACAAAATTCCGTAAGATAGTTTCATTTTTTCTACTTTGGGGTTTCTTTATTGAAGAGCATATTATACACTTCGAAGTCAAGAAATATTAAATTAGGCGAAGAGCTTGCCGAGTGGTTAAAGTGCTCGCTCCTCACAGCTAAGGCCCGTGTTCGATTCCCTACATGTGTGAAATAACATGATGTTCGCAACCGTGATTTCGCTGGAATATTGGTAAATATGACGTTAAACAACAATCACCCATTCATTTTCACACTATCATCTGAGATCACTAGAAGTCTGAGTTGAGTTGAAAGGTAATATATACTTAGAAACCAACATTAATACAACACGCATACACACATGGAGTACCACTGATTTGGGTCCGCTTTTCTATTTTGGTTTCTTTGGATAGTTAAATCAGGCAACCAGTCAATCAATCTCTAAATATATTTTGGTCGGTACAAAGACATACCTCACCACATTTCCCGAGATATGTATCACGACGAAAGACCCGCCTATGAAATGCATTCTTTGTGAAAATTCATGCAACATTGTCCCCATGATGAGAGAGTACATGTATCAGGAATACAGCAAATTTCACCCTGTTCAGGTGACATAAAGCATTTTTCATCCGAGCGCTGCCATTTCCGGTTGAATAGGGACGATGGGTGTCGTAATTGTTAAAGCGTTCGTTTGTTAAGTCGAAGCCCCGAGTTCGATTCCCGACACAAGGTGTCTCGAAAAGGTGGTCAGAAATTCCAATTTACTCACAGAAAGAAGGAATTCGAAGTATATTGCGAACTGCGTTTCAATGATTATGATGCTGATTTGTTTTTAAAAAGATGATAATGATAATGATGACGATGATCTTGATGATGATGATGGTGATGATGATGATAACAATGACTACAAACAAGACATCCGCTGACCAACAATTATCACTTACAGTTACTACATGCGATTGATGCTAAGGGACATAACTCCTGAACAAGTGGAGAATACATACAAGTCAATAAATATCCCACCAAGACATGTTCAGCAAGGTCATCACATTGACTGTACTCAAGGGCATACAGTGGGGGCGCATAGTGCATGTTGGAGGTATACATGTATCCTCCCCGTGATCACCTACCACCAACAGCACCACAAATAACGTAGACACGTGGAACTTTTTGTCAAGGAATATATCCATTAGACATCTGCTACAGCAGAAATAATAAATAAAAACGATTTAAAATACTGAGCACCCTTTGTGTTGAAACGTCCTCCGAATACTGAATATCATGAAGCGTGTGTGTTCGTGCGTGAGAGTATGCGTACATTATTTAAAATAAGATAAGATAAGACTTTATTATCCACGGAGGAAATTTGGTTTACATTCATAAGAGCTCCGGAGCATTTAACGGTCATAAAATATTACATTGACAATATTACAACACAATAGTAATATTAACAAGCTGCCATGTACATTTAGCTTCAGTCCTACATGTGCTATCTTTTTCTTATGATAAATGCGAAACTACTGAAATCTATTAAAAATTAATTAATTAATCAGTAATCTCATTAACATGCTGTATAGTATTTGACATCTTCGAATTCTTCATTTTCATCTGAATTAAAACTGCATGCATATATATATCAAGCTGATGAAATGTTTTCAACAAACTACAAAATACTGGACTGAAAAATGTATTTTGGTTGAAAGGGCTTTTCTTTCCATGACATCATCTCAAAAGGTGATCATCAACATTCCAAAAGAGAAATGCCGTTCAGTGTCCTTCTTAAACCCCGATACTACATACAACGATCAATCTTTGCCTTTCAGTGTCCTTCGTTATATAACTGTCATGTACGTATCATTAGCACTGCCTGTTACAGAAAGTTCGATATCCCATACCGTCATAAAATATACGCGAAATACAATTTGATAATATAGTTACTTTGTAGTACAAATGTACACTTACATAAACATACCAGAGAAACGTACACGTGTACAATATTTATATTTAGCTTCCGTCCTAAAATTGTTACCTTTTTATCACAATGAAATCTATAAAATGTATCTACAATGTCCTGTCTTTTTGCTGAGAAATGTTTCCGAAAATGTGTCAAGACATATCAGCTGAAGAGTTCAGTCCATCAGAATTCATCCTTCCTAATACTGATCATAGGAATAGGAAAATGTCAACACACAGATGCATATACCTAAATATTATGTAGTCCTAGGTCCCTTTCTTTAAGGTCCACTGTGCTGTATGTAAATAACGTGTTTTAGCGGCTATCCTTTTCCGAAGCCATATCGATTTCTTCTTCTTGGAGAAAGATACATGTATGTATGACATTATCATTTTCATCAAGGTCTATGGTCCACTCCACTATGTAGGGATACAGTCTATGGTCTACTTCACTATGTAGGGATACAGTCTATGGTCTACTTCACTATGTAGGGATACAGTCTATGGTCTACTTCACTATGTAGGGATACAGTCTATGGTCTACTTCACTATGTAGGGATACAGTCTATGGTCTACTCCACTATGTAGGGATACAGTCTATGGTCTACTTCACTATGTAGGGATACAGTCTATGGTCTACTTCACTATGTAGGGATACAGTCTTTGGTCTATGTAGGGGATACAGTCTATGGTCTACTTCACTATGTAGGGATACAGGATACAGTCTATGGTCTACTTCACTAGGATGTAGGGATACAGTCTATGGTCTACTTCACTATGTAGGGATACAGTCTAGTCTACTACTATGTAGGGATACAGTCTATGGTCTACTTCACTATGTAGGGTCTACTTCACTATGTAGGGATACAGTCTATGGTCTACTTCACTACATGTAGGGATACAGTCTATGGTCTACTTCACTATGTAGGGATACAGTCTATGGTCTACTCCACTATGGGATACAGTCTATGGTCGTTGTAGGATACAGTCTATAGTCTACTTCACTATGTAGGGATACAGTCTATGGTCTACTTCACACAGTCTATGTAGGGATACAGTCTATGGTCTACTTCACTATGTAGGGACTTCTACTTCACTATGTAGGGATACAGTCTATGGTTTACTTCACTATGTCTACTTCACTATGTAGGGATACAGTCTATGGTCTACTTCACTATGTAGGGATACAGTCTATGGTCTACTTCACTATGTAGGGATACAGTCTATGGTCTACTTCACTATGTAGGGATACAGTCTATGGTCTACTTCACTATGTAGGGATACAGTCTATGGTCTACTTCAAATCATAATCACGAACTCTTAAATGGATCATGGTATATATTTTTAATACATATTATTAGGACAAAAATAATCTTAAGGACAAATAAAACACCATTTGAAAGAGGGACGGTGGGGTAGTCTAGTGGTTAAAGCGTTGGCTCGTCACGCCGAAGACCCGGGTTCGAATCCCCACATGGGTACAAAGCGTGAAGCCCATTTCTGGTGTCCCCCGCCGTGATATTGCTGGAATATTGCTAAAAGCGGCGTAAAACCAAACTCAGTCAGTCAGCCATTTGAAAGAACGTTCATGCCTATTACGTAACACCAAAACATATCC